TCGGTAAATCATTGTTTTCTGATTTGCCCCTACTACGAGAGAGGTTTTATAGGAAAGCCTAGGGGCAAGGACCCTTAAGCTAGCGGGGATACATGAGCGGAATCTAATTTAACCTAAGTGTGTAATATTTTTTCAAACATTTTTCACTAATTTATTACCACCCTAATAATTGTTCACCACCAAACCAACCTTAAGCGGAGCGATTCTGCTGACTTGCGGTTAAAACTAGTAGAATTCAAAAAAAAATATTTATGATATACCACAGTGCTCTGCTAGGGTTTTACAAATTTATTAGCACACTAATAATTATTCATCCCTCAAATACTCCTTATGAGAAGTCAATAATTCTATTGGGTTAATATTTAAAGTAATAAAAAATCTATTTTTACAATTTTACTGTACTCTACTTATAACTGAAAGTTTAAATTGCTTGCCAGGTTTTTACTGAATTTTATTCACCCTCATAATTTTTGACCCCCTAAGCCACAGTTAATGGGAAATATTCAACAAGCTACGCATTCACGCTAGCTAAATGGGAAACCTTTTTGGAAATACACAAGTGCTGTGTTAGATTTTTACTATATTTTTACCAACCTAGTCATTGAAAACATTCTGAAATATTTTTCTTCTTCTTTGAGTGCCTCTCCTATCGGAGATTGGATATCATTATGGCGATTCTAATTTTATTTACCGCTGTTTTGAATAATTCGTCAGTGGTACAGCCAAACCACTCTTAAATTTCTCATCCAGGATATTCTTCTACGGCCTGGATTTCTGCGTCCTTGGATTTTTCCTTGCATTACATTTTGTAGGAATGTGTACTTTTGTCCTCTCATCAGGTAGCCTAAGTATTCAAGTTTTCTCTTTTTTATATTCATGATAACTTCTGGATCGATATTTATTCTGCGTATTACCTCTTCATTTGTAAGTTTATCCACCCAACTTATTTTTAGTATACGGCGGTAGCACCACATCTTAAAGCATTCAAGATTTTTAATATTCCTCTGTTTAAGAGTCCATTCCTCAACACAGTAGAACAAAGTACTGAATATATAGCATTTTAACATTCTAGTTCGTAGATGAATACTAATATCACGATTACAAAATAATTTTTTCATTTTTATAAAGGTAGACCTGGCAATTTCAATACGTCTTTTTATCTCGTGATTTTGGTCACCTGTTTCATTGATGAGGGTTCCCAAGTATTTGTATTCGCTTACTTTTTCGAGTTGGGTACCGTTTATTGCGATACTAGTGTCATGTATTTGATTCTTACTGAAGGTCATATATTTGTGTTTTTTATGTTTATCCTTATGCCGTAGTTAATACATATCTCATTCATACTTTCAACTAGATGTTGTAGATCTTCCGCTGTTCTTGCCATTATCACAGTATCATCAGCATATCGAATGTTATTGATAACTTCTCCATTGACTATTATCCCTTCGTTTGCATATGAGAGAGCTTCTTCTCATATTTGTTCGCTGTAGATATTAAACTATATAAACTATATATAAGCTATAACATTGCAACTATAGCATCAGCAAATGAAAACTTAAAACCAAAGAATAGAAAACATAAAGACTGGATGACTGAAGAAATACTACTATTAATGAATGAAAGAAAATAATCCAAAACAAAAAATCCAATTAAATATAATGAAACTGATCGATTAATTAAAAAGAGAATAAAAGAAGCTAAGGAGAGAATGTTACATGAGCAGTGCCAAGAACTAGAAGAAATTGAGAAAAAATATGACTTTTTTAACATGCATAAAAGAATTAGAGAATTAACAGGAATGAGAAAAACACTTCAAACTAGGCAACTAAGAGATGAAAGTGGTGCACTCATAACAGATATAAACCAAAAAATGCAGAGGTGGACACAATATATAGCACAACTTTTTGAAGACAAAGAGAGAACAGAAGCACCAAAAGAATTTAAGGATGATACTGGGCCTGACATTATACGAGAAGAAATTGGATATGCAATGAAACAAGCTAAAGGTGGTAAATCTCCCGGGCCTGATGAAGTTCATATCGAATTACTTAAAATTGTAAATACTGAATCCATTGATCTTCTTCTGTATCTATTCAATACCATATATAGAACAGGTATAATACCTAAAGAATGGCTCCAATGAACATTCATACTGCTTCCCAAAAAAGCCAATGCAGATTTGCCGTGGGGTTCGCCAAGGGTGTATTTTATCACCCTTGTTATTCAATTTATACAGTGAAGCCATCTCAGAATTAGCGCTTGCCGAGATCAGTGAGGGCCTTATAATAAACGGTGAGCCACTTAATAACATAAGATATGCTGACGACACCGTCCGTCTGGCAGGAACACTAGAAGAACTGCAACACCTTGCTGAACAACTAAATATATATTGCAACGATTATGGATTAAAAATAAATTTGAAGAAAACCAAGTTCATGGTATTTACAAAAGCACAAAACATCAAAGTTAAGCTAGTACTAGATAATATAGAAATTGAACAAATATCTTCGTACAAATACCTTGGAGCATTTGATCACAGAAGATACTGATCGGACAAAAGAAATAAGATGCCGCATTGAAATTGCATTGAAAACTTTTTTGTAATCGCGATATCAATATATCGCTCCGGATAAGAATTCTTCGATGTTATATTTTCTCTACGATGTTATATTTTGTATGGAGTTGAAGCTTGGACAATTAAAAAATCCAACATTAAACCTAAAAGCATTCGAAATGTGGTGTTACCGACGTATTTTGCAAATATCATGGATGGATCGCAAAACAAACGAACAAGTTCTCGAACAACTAGGAAAACAATGCGAAGTTTTAAATTCCATAAAAATCAGGAAATTGGAATACTGGGGCACATCATGAGAGGTAAAAAGTACGAAATACTAAGAAATATAATTCAGGGTAAAATCAAAGGTAGAAGAAGCGCAAAAAGACGTAAAATCTCGTGGCTACGCAATCTCCGTGAATGGTTTGAATGCAGTTCAATTGAACTATTCAGGCGCGTAACCAACAAAATTATAATTGCCAGAATGATTTCCAATCTCCGAGTGGAACTTGAAGAAGAAGAAGATATTAAACAAGAGCGGTGACAAAATAAACTGAAATATAACTCCATGCTAACTAATATTTATTAAAAAAAAATTAATGGGAAAATCCCAGTAGTTGGCTCTATACCGTCGTTTAAAAAACTGATACAGAAGTTAAAACACTTCACATTTGTATTTAGGTATATATACCTAAATACAAATGAAGTGTTTTAACTTCTGTATCAGTTTTTTAATATTTATTTTTTAAATGCTTAAATATTGAAAATATGAAAACACTTTATTACAAAAATTATAAATTTTAACTGTTTTAAAAAATTGACTCTGATTATAGTAGTGAGGACATGGCTAAAAGAAATCGAATCGTGAGTCCCTTCTATGAATATAAAACAACTGAAATCAAGTTGAGTTTTAATAAATACAATGGAATTGTTATATTTAACAGAATAATTACCAGGTATGAAATAATTTTAGTATGTCTATTAGATTAATTACCTAGTTGTAAAGGAGCGTCAGGACAACTTGCGCACTTATTGTTAAAAGATTTGTATTTATTGGGTACATCCATGGACCTGACCGAAGTGTACTGCCAATCAAGGAGTGGGGGCTGCAGTCTTAATCGGATATTATATTGATACTCTTCTGTATTATTTAACCTTGTCAATAAATTGCAAATATAGGGCCTCTGTACTGTCTCTGAGTGTGTTTTATGCTGAATAGAATAGTTTTTAAGTAATTTTTAATAGTAAACACCAGTGCACATTTCTAAGCAAGATGACGTCTATAGTTAATTTTTAACTCCTGAACTTTGAAAACGTGCATTTTTCATACCGGACGAAAAAGTACGACTTTATGGCCCTATTAGAGCGTAAAGTGCGGAGTTTATGCCCACTGTATTAGGTGAAAAATATGAAGATGGCAAAAAATAGTAAGAGGTTGAAGTAAAAGGTTGAAGTAAAAGTACAATACAAAAAAATTATCAAAAATTCCTTTCATAATTTTGTTTTGTCAGTTTAAATTTCATCCTAGCAGACTTATGGCTTCTCCTAAGCTACCACGGGTTAGTTGAGGTAAAAAATTAGTAAAAATCAAGCAGAATCATGTAGTATTTCAAAATTTTTATTTGATTTAGCTAGATAGCTTAATCTTGACTTCCCACAAGGAGTAGTTAAGAAGTGAAAAATTATTAGGATGGTAATAAATTAGTGGAAAATAAGTGAAAAAATATGCCATAGGCAAAAAGTTTTTTTTTCGAATTCTGCTAGCTTGAGCCAGCAGAATCAGTACCCTAAGGTTGGTTTGGTGGTTAAAAATTATTAGGGAGGTAATAAATTAGTGAAACATATTTGAAAAAATATTACGTACTTAGGTTAAAATTGTTCGGCTCATTTGTCCCCGCTAGGTCCTCCAGGGGTAAGTGTGGCAGCTTGTTTGGGGTCCCAAAATTGACATTCTCAGTAAACTTCAGCTTGTTCGTATGATTTTTAGACGTTCAATGGCATTTTCGTCTCTGCCAAAAATAATTTTGTATTGAATAATCAATATTTTATAATTCTAACAATAAAACACTGAAAACTTTTTTTTTCAACAATTCTACAAAATTTATTTTAAATTATTATCACTACAGCTGTTTCGACCAGAGTGCCTTTCTCAAGTCGAATCCATTACTTATTTTATAATTGTGTTTTGAGGGTAACTTTTCACGAATTTTAAAAAAGTTATTAAAATCGTAACAATAATAAGATAAATATTTTTTAATAAACTATAATGATTGTTTTTATCATATTCACTAATTTTAATATGTATTAATAATACGTATGCAATTTATTACCAATTTCTCCAGTTTTATGTCGTTTTTAATTTGTTTTCCGTGTAAATAACGACAACTTAACGTTCTTTAAATGACCGTTTATTACTTTTCGATACACTAATATACTTTTGAAGGTTTCGTACCGCGAGAACATGGCAAATTTGGCCAGAGGTTTACAGTTCAAGCAGTCGAGGCCCTTTCGGATTTCGAAAAAGCGCAAATGGCTAAACGAGAAGCTATCAATCAAATAACGAAGATAGGGTACTTGCAGGATAATCGATGGGATCCAAAAACTTTAGCAGAAAAAGAGGTAAATACCGAGTTCTTTCTTGAATTAGATCCTATAATTTTTAAACAACCTGAAATCTTTGAAACTCTTTCACAGTCCTCTCGCTTTACTTTATTTACTAATATATTTTGCTCATTTGTTTGGCTACCATCAAAACATTTGTATTAGCTCTAATATCTTGAGAGCTTTCTTATATAATTGGTCAGTCTCTTTATATATAGTTACAAATGCATCTAAGACATTAGTTAAGGCACTGGATATGCTTTTTACATACCTGTTTATTATATCTCAATCATTCTTACCGTATTCTACCGATTATGGTGCACAGCGGCGCACTCAGGGGGGTTTTGGGGTTAACACCCCCTGGGCATATGAAGTAAAAAATATATAAAGAATAGTAAGAAAATGTAAATCATGAATGTGTTGCTTGTGTGAGTCCATTTTAAATAGGTAAAAGAAATAATAAATAAGTCTTAATCACAATCAGTTTAATTTAATTATCTTGACGACCGGTTTCGCTTTCTACAATATGCAAAGCATCTTCAGGTCTCGATATAAAGTTAATTAAATGCTGAAATACTAAAACTCATACTAGGGTGTTGTCTTATATAAACAAAGATAAATGATTCTGCCAATATTACATGTCTGTGGTTTTTAAAAATGAATAAACCTTTTAAACAGACAAGGTAAGACCCACAAATTGATAGAAAAATAGTCTATTGAATTGTAATAAATTAGTAAATAAATAAAACATTACTTACATGCCGGTACTCTATTAATTAATGGTTGGAAGAACATGGTTCAAACTATCCTGTATTGCTGAATGAAGAACTTTAGTTTTTACTATTGCAATTGTTTGACAATCAACAGGCAAGTTCTTGAGGAGATAGATTTTATCCAATGAAGTAGAAATGGGTGTAATGTGATTGTTTGTTAAATGAGAGTGATGTTCTATATTATTTAATTATTTAAAAGTTATTTATTTTGATTCAAGAGATATATTTATCAAATGTGTGTTATTTATTGAGATTTTATGAAGGTGACAGTTGTATGACAATGAATGAAATTAGATGTACAATTGTGTGGGTGTGTAAATTTTTTCAACTTGTAATTATGAAATTTCTTTGATAAAGTTATTTATATTTATATTTAAATTTGTGGGTCTTACCTTGGTCTGCTTAAACAGTTTATTCATTTTGAAAAACCACAGACATATAATATTGGCATAATTACTGTAATTTATATCATTGATCTTTGTTTATCTTTATAAGACAACACTCTAATATAGGTTTTATTATTTCAGCATTTAATTAACTTTGCTCTGCATATTGTAGAAACCGAAACCGGTCATCTAGATAGTAAAATTAAACTGATTGTGAGTAAGTCTTATTTATTATTTCTCTTACCTGTATGTGAAAGAAAATGTGATTTGTCTTTCACATACAATAGTTTCAAACCATTAAGTATGTAGTTCCATTAAATTATCGGATTCCAAAAAAAAAAGGAAAAAAATAACATACATGTACAAAAATTTGATAAACATAGTTTATTAAAATAAAATAATACTTATTGGCCTAATGTCACCTTATTCTTTTTTTATTTTGGCCATTACTGAGAATGATCTTTCACTGCTTGCATTATGAATAAGTGACTACATGGATACATGCTAAATCATATTTTCTTTACTTATAAAAGTCTTTAATTGTAGGTTTAAATCTTGTACAGGGTTTCTCATTATATTTTGACTCACCACTTATTTTCCTTAATTTCGGGAATACAAAAAAAAAAGTTTCAAATAAAAGTTGTATTATTTTATCTGTATCGACCAACAGTGTAGCAACAGACCAAATTTTGTATACAGGAAGTGCCCCATAAAATGCATCTTTAATATTTCAAATGAGACACCCTGTATTTTTTTTATAGTTTTGAGTAGCCCTACATTTCCTGATTACAAATATATAACATAGTGTAGCATTGGTTTTGTTCTATAATGGCTTATGGTACTACTCTTGGACGTATAAACATAGATGGACACAGCAATAAGATACCTTTAATACACAATCCCTAACATAATATATGTCCCTAACATATGTTAGGGATTTCTCTACGTGATAGAATATCCAATGCTACTATACGCAGAAGATCAGGAGTAGCAGACGTTATTGAAAGGATAACAACACTAAAGTGGAACTGGGCAGGTCATGTAGCCAGATCAGTTGATGACCGGTGGACAAAAAGAATTTTGGAATGGAGACCCCGAATACAAGCTTACAGAAATAGAGGTCGACCCCCAACGAGATAGACAGATGACATAAAAAGAGTGACTACAAATTGGATTCAGATGGCGCAAAATCGGACTAAGTGGAAAAGCATGCGAGAGGCCTATGTTCAGCAGTGGACGTTAGAAATTAGTTGATGATGATGAATACACAATGTTTTGAAGCTTCGATAGAATGTGATGCTTCCGCAATGAGCATAAGCGTGCTTGAAGTTTTACTCGCGGGTAATTATTCAGATTTTAAAAATTGGAAGTAGTAATAATGTATAAAAACACGTTCAAAGAATTTAAAAAAAACGAGAGTTTAACTATTAACAAATCACGTCTTTATAGAAAAATTAAAATACAATTTTATTTGCTTTAAAATTAATACAATTAAATATAGTTGAATTCAAGTTAATTTTTTAATAGTATCAAAATATTGCTACAATAAAAAATCTTTATGTTTTTTCCTTAATTTGCTACCCAAATAGTTCGATCGTCAATATTATTTGGAAACCTACATAGAAAAATAAATGAGTTTTATTTATTTCACTAATTTATTTGTATCCATGAGAAATATTAAATTAAAAAGGTACTAAACAGATCTTTTTTAATCAGATGATGTCTACTTACAATTTATAAATGTCTACTAATTTCGTGAACTCATATCTTATTCAATACATTAATGAACATGAATAAACCCAATGGTACACCTATTAAAATGTAAACAAACACACTTCCTCATTTCCTCATCTTAAATAATGTAAATTGTATGTACTTACAAATGAAATGAGAGATCGGGATGTAAATATTTCGTTTATTTTATTTCACTTTTCACAAATATCACTCAAAATACAGCCAAAATATCGAAAAATAACATTTTCCTCATTTACTGTAAAAAGTAAACAAACATGGAACAGCATTTGAAGTTTGACGTAGATCCATAAGACAGAGAAATGTAAACAACCGTTGCGATTTATAAATAGTTTTCAGTGCTTCTACATATAAAATAATTGATTGATATCTATTATACGCTATTATTAAATGATAATGCACACTATGTGCACACTTGATATTTTGATTACAATTAAATATATTAATATAACCAATAAATTATTATTTTGGTTTGATAGCACCTGTAGAGTATAAAATACGGAGTAATATTTTCAGCGACTCGCGAATAAGAAATTTTAAAACAAAACGTGACAACAGTTGAAGGTGCTCAGAATGTGACCTATTCAAATAATTTTGACTTCACAATTTTATGTAAATAACTTAGTAAATCTGTGTTTATACGTCTATGGTACTACTATACTATACTAAGATAAGAAAAAAATATATTCAGAAAGTCAACAAAATTGATGACTTACAATACTACATTTAAGATACAATACTACATTTAAAATTACAATAGATGCTCAAAGTGCCCCCTATTGTTATCAATGCACAAGTAATATCTTCGTCTCAAATTTTCTAATGCGTCAGATATTGTGTTATTATAACCATTTAAATTTTCAATTTCCGCGCGAACTTTTGCCGTGATAGTGTTAATATTTGTATTTAAATCAAAATACACTTTGTCTTGTAAAAACCCCCATAAAAAGTTATCACATGGTGTTAAGTCGAGACTATTTGGTGGCCATGTAATGGTACCGTTATTGCCGATCCACACATTATTTAAATTTGATTGAACGGCTACGACATTATCTCCATCTTGTTGCCATATCATACTATTTAATTGATTTTTTGTATAATTTTGATTTAATAACTCATCCACTTCTGTAATGACTGTGTCCAAATATGATTCCCCAGTTAATTTATAATCATAAAACAATGGTCCAACTATTTTGTTTTGAAATATTCCGCACCACACATTTATTGAATTTCTTCCTGACTTTTTTATTTGCTTAATTTTTCTTTTTCTATTATTTTTCTATTCCCACGATTACCTATTTCTTCTATTAAAAATGCCTGAAATTGAAAAATTTGATTCATCTGTCCATAAAATGTTATAAAAATAATTAGGATCATTGTTCAAATTTGTAAGCATGTCTTGACAGAACTGTAAACGTTTTCTCTTATGAACATTGGTAAGTTCTTGTAAGTTCTTGATCAGCTGGCAAGATAAATGAACTTTAACTCATAGGTGCAAATAACTATCAAAATTAAAATGGTTGCAATAAACAATCAAAAACAATTTAGGTAAACTAGGTGAACTTACCGCTAATTACCATGGGATACACTACTATACAAAACAACGAACAAAACGACTTCAATATGAGTGCATCGTTCCACTAGCGAGATGCGTCTGTCGCTCTTAACGACTAAACATTTTTTGTTTTAGCGGGATGGATTCCCGAGCGGTACCAGAGGGATCGGGTGAGTACAGGGGATGACAAATGTATTGATTAATTTATACATTAAACATTTTCCCCCCTTTAAAGGCCATAAGGTCTTTAAAAAACAAAACGAATTCTAAATACTATCATTACTTAAACAACAAAACGATAATTAATACAAACAATTCCTATACAAATCTTAAACAAATATTCAAAACTTAAACTAAAATAAAAAAATTAATATTAAAATGATGGTTTTGTCGCGGTTATATTGATATAAGCCGAACAAAACAAAATCAGTAAAAAATGTTGACCATCTGAGGCCGTTTTAAGGTTCCGGTGATCGTACGCACGGTAGCCACTCGAGCTACACCGTCTTTACCCTCATGTAATTCAACAAGACGCGCGAGAAGCCACTTATACGGAGCCAAATTATCCTCCTTTGGGCCATAATAACAACTAAGGCCCCGATTTTAGGTACAAAACTAGGATCTAACCATTTGGACTTTTGTTGCCAGGTGGGCAAATATTGCTTTCGCCATCGAGCCCAAAAATCTCTATAGATGCGTTGTAACAACTGTCATCTGGACAAACGATTGAAGGATACCTCTGAAAAATCAGGCACAGACAAAGAGGTCAAAGGTTCAAGAGTCAAGAAATGTCCTGGAGTCAAAGCATTGAGATCTTCAACATCATTGGTTAATGGGGAGAGAGGGCGTAAGTTTAAAACAAATTCAATTAAGGTTAAAACAGTATAAAATTCTTCGTAGGTCAAAATGTGTATCCCGACTATACGAACAATATTTTCCTTATCAAGAACACTCTCCATAAAACTACTAAGCACTATGAAAATTAGTGCAATTATCACAAAATACTTGCGATACTCGACCTCTCCGACCAACAAAACGTTGTAAAGCGGCCAAAAAGGCTTCTGCGGTCAAATCACTAGCTAATTCAAGATGTAAAGCCTGTGTAGCGCAACATACAAATAGACACAAATAAGCCTTTTGGAAAAAATAAAAAAATAGACACAAATAAGACGTCCCGATTATGCGTTTCCCGATAAATGTTCTCGCACAAAGCGTCTTCTGGTTCTGAAACTGGCTTTTCCGGTATGTTTTCCAGTTCCCAAAATTTCTTTAACCAAGAATCTAGTGGATCTTCAATATTTTAAAGACAAACAAGCGAAGTCCACGAAAGGCTAGGTGTTATTACACAATTAACAAATCAATAGATTGACTACAGTTAAATTCCGGATCGGCCAACTTCAAATTTTTAATATAATTCCACGTCGATATGTCAATTTTGGTGCTAGGCAAATCCGAGCAAACCCGATCTGTAATAATAGCCTCCAAGTGCAACACCGGTGACTCCTGATGATGAGGTTGGATAGAAAAATTTATTTGACCTTGATTTAGTTTCGTTTGCATCGAATTGAGTCCGTTAACTTCAAAAGAACAAGGAGTTTTAGGCCAGCCTAGTCTACTGGCAGCTTTTCGACTAATGAACGAACTCATTGAACCTGAATCTAGAAGACATTTCAAGGGCTGCTTACACCCCTTACTATCAATCGCATGAACCGAAACGGTACCGAGCAAATGGTATCAAAAATGGTTTAATACTTAAGTGTTTTGTAATATATACCAGCTATGTGTAGAACTTGAAAAAAAATCAATTCAACGCTCAATTCTTTAACAATATTAAAAAAACCAAATTCGATAGCAGGTCAGAAAATCAGGGTGACAAGCAGGGTAGAAAAAATATAATCTTTTATTCTGGATTGGAGTCCCTTACATTTACCTGACATATTAGACGCATTATCATAACGCTGTCCCTGCCAGTTGGTGATGGAGTTAAAGTGGTCACTGGAGTTTTCATACTCTGACAATTTTTTATGTACATTTTTCCAATCACTAGTCCCTTTTGTCATCGGCATTGTTTGATTGGAAAATAATTTACAGACGTAACAGCTCTTGGTTTATAAGCTTTTACTTTTTCCCCGCTACTAATTGTTCTGACGAAGGAGGCAATAGTTAATTTTCTTGTCGTAATTTGTTTTGATCCTTCGTTGCATCGAATATAAGATGATTCATATGTTATGTTTATTGATTTTGGTAGATTTTTTTATAGAATACTCTTGCATGGTGTCTGTTAAGTCTTCTGGCCATAATGCAATATCGTTTACAAAACTTTTAGTTTCATCATTACTTTGAGACGATTTTAGATTTATATTTTCTCCTTTTGTTTCATCTTCACAATCGGACAAATACTTGGTTACTTTTATTGTTATTTAATGTTTGAGTGATGTTACTATAGAGTTCCTCTATTTCTTCGTCAGTGTGAGTAATTTTGGGGCGCATATTAGTATAATATGTATATTGTATCTATTTGGTAGTTGTAAGGTTAAGGTTAAATTTAAATTTGACCGATATCAACCAGTAGAACAAGCCGGATTTAGAAAAGGGTACAGCACCTGTGACCATCTATATACTTTGAAAATCCTACTAAAAAAGACTAACGAATACAATCTTCCATTATATCTGGCTTTTATAGATTATGAAAAAGCCTTTAATAGTGTAGAACTGTGGGCAATAGAAGAAGCATTAGTCAACAACCGGATCGACGCCAGGTACAGAATATTAATACATAATATTTACGAACAAGCTGAAATGATAGTGATGTTAAATAATGGAATCGAAACAAGACCAGTAAATCAACCGAGGCGTAAGACAAGGAGACACAATATCCCCAAAATTATTTCTAGCTGCCCTAGAAGATATCTTTAAGTCAATAGACTGAGAAAATAAGGGAATCCCTATTAACGGAAGATACTTGAATCATCTTAGATACGCAGATAATGTAGTACTAATAGCCAACACGTGGAATGAATTGAATACGATGATTGAAGACTTACACACCTAATCAGACACATAATCAAGGTAAGCAAAGAAAATCAGACTATCGAAATAAACAGACGTGTAAAATGGGATGGGCAGCATTTGGAAGACTCTCATATGTACTTAAAAATAAAAATATACCTCAAAGACTGCGAACCAAAGTGTTTATTTCCTGCATCTTACATGAACTTACATATGGGGCTCAAATCTGGACATTCACTAAAATAAACATGGAGAAGAAACAATGAAGACATTCGTAATAGAACAAAAGTAAAAGAAGCTGTCGAACAGGCACCTAAACTAAAATAGAAATGGGCTGGACATAACAAACGTCTTAAGGACGATGGAATAAAGAAATCGGGAATTGGCGGCTATATGAAGCCAAAAGAAAACGAGGAAAACCACAATTGCGCTGGAGCGACGATATTAAAAGAACTTCAGGACCAATGTGGAAACGTCTTAAGCTATTAAGCTAGCTACTCTTCATATCGTTATACAGGGCGAAGCCATATCAGTGATGCACAGATTAATCCATAGTCAGCAACATATATGCCAGATGCATGGTACTGTGGGAGCTGGCACAGTAGGGACAAATCAAGGGATACGTTTCCCGGTAAGTCTATCTAAGGATGTGACAGTTTTCCAGGCAGAAATAACTGCAAACCATCACTGCGTGGAATAAATTGAATGGCAGGAAGGAACGTTCTGTTCAGTTGCCATCTTCACAGAGAGTCAGGGAGCGCTTAAGGCACTCAATTCCGGAGAGGTCAATTGTAAGCTAGTATGAGATTGCGTATGTGCCCTAAATAAACTAGGAGACCATAGCAAGGTTACGGTATCCTGGGTACCGAGGCACAAGGGTCATAAGGACAATGAAAAAGCAAATGAAATAGCCAAACAAAGCTCATCAATGCCATTCATTACACCGGAATCCTTCTGCGGCGTTGCAAAGTAAGTAACAAGAACGGCTACAAGGAAGTGGGTAGCTCACAAATCTCTGGAATGGTAGAGGAATTCACCAGGAGAAAGACAGGTGAAACAGTTCATTACAGAACATTCGCCAAAATTTACGGCAGACCTAATAAGCAAAGTCAGGAGAACAGTCAAAGCCATAGTAGGTTTTTTAACAGGGCACTGTAAGCTGAATAGGCACTTGAAGCTGATGGGATTATCAGATGATGACCCGTGCAAATTCTGTCACCTCGATGAAGAAACAACAGAGCACATTTGACGTCAGTGTGATAGTCTGCAAAATGTGCGGTTCTTTGCATTAGGAGAAGAAAATCTACCGGCAAATAGCTACATGGAAGGTACAGTCTCGAAGCTACTAGACTTTATAAAAAGGGTCAGGCTAGATAATGTTATCTGGAACTAGAGGACTAAAATATATCTGAAAAATTCGCAGTGGATTAAGCCAAAAGACCACCTCTCTTAACCTAATCTAATATAAGCGAGCTACTCAATCCAAGATACTAGTTATTTCTACTACTCTTCGTTTTCATCTTTTGTTGTTTAAGAATCCAAGACCGTCTGTTCCACCCGTTGATGTTCCTAGGTAGTAGAATATGTTTCTTGACTCTGATTCTAATAGTTCTTCATCTTTTTGTCTTACTTAGCTGATTCCTATGACGTCCTATTTTATATTTTCAAATTTTTTTTCCAGTTCCACAAGTCTGGATTGATATGATAGCTAGCGACAGTTATATGTCGCTAGATAAGGCGTTGTTATTTTATTTGGGTAGCAGTTTAGACTCCGCAGATTCTTAGCACTCCTTGCACTCCTGGCTTGATCCCGAGTTCAGAGCTATTTTGACCTACAGAGAATAAGAGCCATGATTTTCGCCGAAACCCACCTTTCACCCTCCTCCTACTGCTATATAACGTATTCCCATAATACGCCATATATTCCCCGGGGATTACGCGAAGTAAGGCTTTTTAGTCACAGCGACTCATTCGTCACTATCAGGCATTTACCGCAGATTTTAATGGTTTGCTCTTACCGCTTTTATTTTATTGGGTTTGCCTTATGTTTTTACTGGTCGTATACCAAAAGCTTATTTAGCTATAATGTCAAGAATGTTGGGCCTAAATCTCCAAAATCAATATTTACTACTACCAAATATTTTCTTATTTCGTTTTCGTCTTTTCTTAATCGTAGAACATATTCTTATATAAAAGACTTTTTGCAGTTAGCTCAAAGCCAATTTAAGCTTCCTCTGTTGGAAGTAAGACCGGAATGCGGTGGACTCTTAAGAAATTTGCCTGTAACGGAGCCCCCTATTACACCTCCAAGACAGTCTCAAAGTCCGTATTTTACAGATTCGGATGATCCAGAAAAGTATCTAAAAGCAGGTGAGGAATAAAATTATTTACAAATAATTATTTTATTTGATGATTTTTGGAATCAATTTGGTAAATTCGATCTCATCTTAGGGTGTGTTTGGTCAAATTCCTAAATTTTTCATTTTAATTATTGTTTTTTACTCCCTAAACAGTTTTTTCCATATACTATGTATGGTATGTCTATATACTATGTTTTAACTCATCTCTTCTTCTGTATTTTCCTACAGTCCCTTGTTTTTCGACCCGCAGTCAAATTTAAATTCAAAATAGTTATTTACAAAATTCAACTGACATACGTCAAAGTTTTTTGTGAGTAATGTATTTTCGAAAGTTATTTATCGGGCGTTTGAAAAAGCTAAAATCAAAATGTACGACAAATTGTATAATTCATTTATGCAACAACAACGATATGTTACAGGACCTGGTAAACGTAAGTACAATTTAATCCTCGTCTGTTTTTTACTTTGGTGAACTCAGTTATTCAATGAGCTTGAAGTTCTTTTAAATTATCAATGTTATTATTCTTCTCAGACAAATCTATAAACCCAGAACAGCTCACAGTGACAGAAAAAGTTTCTACTACTATATATTCAAAACTGCGAGTGATAAACCATCATAGGTTGTAATTTTAGTAGGGGAGCCTTGGTACGATTGTAACCCCGTAATACCAATACTTACCATGTCAGGAGAGTATTATGTTTTTTTTTCTGTTTTTTTCCTCATGATTTACTATGGAATCACTAACAGGAGAATTTTACTGCCATCATGGCGAGTGGTTGTCTTTTTAAAAACGAATCACATGCTATGATTATTTCTGACGGATATTTTCAAGTTAGACGATTTCATGTAATCGAATAAACTATCTTACAATAACGTCGTCCCAGGAACGCAACTCAGTAATACTGACAGTATTAGACATTTTAAAGTCGTATTTTTTTAAAATACAGTAAACTCCCTCTATAACGAGAACTGATATGGCAGACTAATTAGCTCGTTATAACAAACAACAATAACAATGTGCATGCATATGAATATGTAGTTTTCTTAAACATTACCTTCCTATAGTGAAGCCATTCGGAGCAATATAAGATGCTAAATATTGTTTGAATGGAGTTTTTGAAAAAAAGTTATTTACTTTTATTGTAAATGAAATACATTAAAACAAAAAAGAGTTGTTTACTTTTATTTATTGTCAATGATATACGTTAAGGCCGATCCTCGAGACTCTGGCCATAGCTAAATTCCAATGTAAAAGTTTATATCAAAGAAAGCAAAAGCTATAGCAGATATTGAGATGATTCTTTTTTTATATGAAAGGTCTTAAAAAGTTCTAGTGCACTTTTTGGTTGTAAATTAATAAATTGTTTAAACAATATATTTTTTTCAAATATTTTTGGTTAAAATAAACGTAAAAATTTTTTTTTTGAAATAGAGCACTAGAGAATTTGACCCACTTTCCGAATCGGTTTTTATTTTTAACATAAAGTGTAACACAAAGCAGCTATTTGGTATAAACTTTTAAAAAATTTGAAAGTTCTGCTAAATGTAATTCTCTATCCGTCAGCACAAACTGTCCTTGTTAGAGACCTGGATTATTGAGTGTCACGAACAAGATCTATTTTTTGCTTATTTCCCTGGAGTATATATTTGATTAACATCTGCGTAATTTCTTTGTCGCTTCCTCGCTGGTTTTGCATATTGCTATGATAGCAGTATCATCGGCAAATGTTGCAATTGTATTATTTTCTGGGACAATAATATAACACGTATAAAAAAGGTAAAGACACTTCTTTGTGGCAGTCCTGCTGTAATTTCTTTCAGTTCCGTGTATGTTTCTTCCTGTTTAATTCTGAAATATCTTTACAAGATGCAGGAGTCAATTATTTGAGAGTATCGTTTTGGTAAATGTAGTTTTAGTTTATAGTTATGGCATATTTGCCATACTTTAATATATACCTGAGTCAATTGTCAGTCCTAAATTGTCCATCATATTATCCTTCATGATCCATATTTCACATCCATATAAATAGTAATACAGTATATATTATCATCATCATCGTCATGATCAATGGCACTTCAACTCTTCGTGAGTCTGTGACGCGGTTACTATTGCCTCCCATATAAATAGTAATACAGTATATATTATCATCATCATCGTCATGATCAATGGCACTTCAACTCTTCGTGAGTCTGTGACGCGGTTACTATTGCCTCCCATATTTGTCGGTCCTGTGCCAGTAATTCCCATTGTCGCACCCCCATTTTCTCTAGATCTTGGAGTATATTTACATATAACAAATTAAATCCTTAGTTGTAAATTTTTGAAATAAGTACTCAGTATACATCTAAGTTTCATAAATGCTCCTCATAAATCTCATAAATCTAAACTTTTGTAATCCGTTCTTTGTTGACAATTAGTTCCATAGGGCCGACGTTTACTAACCACAAGTAAATTATCTTATTTGTTTCATTTGACAATAATACTTAATTAGTATTGTAATAAGTAAATTCGTCTCTTTTTGAATGATAATAAACAACACATCAAACTTATTCTGAAACTATTTCTTGTGTCATGTTATATTTTATTAGATTTTGGTGTAATAAACCACAACCTATCAAATTCAATATTAAAAATCAAAATTGGAAATGATAGCGTGACTTAACTATTCCTTCCTTCAAGAAATTTTAAAAAGAACTGATTCCTATTACTATTCAGTGCAAGGACAGTGATTTTGTTATGTATATCGAATAGAGAATACTGTTAGTTTGCGGTATGGACCCCAAAAAATATTTTATTTGAAAAGATTGATAAAGGTATGGAACTATGGGAAAATATGCTACAAAAATTGCAAGATTTTTATTATAATTTTTATTTGAAACACCTTCTGAAGAAACATTAGATATAATTCTATATTTATATAGTTTCATTTTATCAATTTTAATGATCGTGATATTAATAAAATATTTACGATATATAATTATAATCTTTTTTTATAATTTTAAATTCCGTAAACTTTAATCTACGTTAAAATTCAGACCGCCAATTTTTCCGTAAAAAGTAGCAAATAAATTATGTATGTACCTTTGTTACATTGTAAATTTATGAATAAATTATACTACTTTGATCTGTTATTCTATTTACTCAAAACACCACTAAAGAGAAATTTATGGTTTTATTGTAAGCCCAAAACCTGTCACTTCAGGGGTTGTCCCGATTGTATTATCGGCTCGAGTAAAAGATTACCTAACGCATTTTTGACTTGGGCTTGAGAGAGATATCTGAACGAAGTTTAGAATATTACTGCATGAACAGATTTTGTTTTCGTAAAGAAAGAAATTTTTGAAATAGAGATAGCCCACTGAAATTTACCGGTAGGATTTTAGAGGATGAGCCTTAAAACAAAAAATCTGTATTCTGTAAATCTGTATAAAGCGTATTTTCAAGGATAACATAAACTATTGCTTCTGCAATCAGAAGAAGTCTGTCATTTTTGACTGTTTAAATTGTCCAGTATTCTATCTATTATATTTTCTAAAGATGTGAAACAGTTGTATGTTTCTTTATTTGCGCTTTGTCTTTGGATAAAGTTTCTTACAACGTTTAAAGCACTTTCCACATCTTGTCTATTGGGACCTATATTCTATATTATTAGGTGTGAATAGTCAACCCCCTACAATGACACTAGTAAATCATAAATTGTAAATTTCTGAAGAAGTTTATTGCAGGCGGCTGTTAAAAAGGGTATTAATTATTTATAGCCACGGCCGTGCCAAAAACATAAAAAACACGTTTTTTGATCTTATTTTCTTTCGTTATAAGTAAATTTGCCTCGCTATAGAGGGTTTTAGTTCAATAGAAATTTCACGGGATATCTAATGTATCTGGTTATAAGTAAAACCTCGTAATAACCGTGTTCGTTATAGAGGGAGTATACTGTAAAATTAAATTATTAGAAGAATTTTTCACCAAGTAACCAAAATTTGTTAATTTATTTATGTTTGTATTTTTGAGAACGATTTCCGAAGTGGAAATGAATTGTGGCTTATTCCCATTACCATATAAATCTACGTGGCCTGATGTTAAAGAAACAAGTCTTCTTTACTCTTTCAAAATGAAGTATCGCTTACCTATGCCACAAAATTTAAGAAAAGGACATTTTAAATTTCATTTTGATGTTTTATAGTTATACTTGTATTGTAAAATCATTTTTTGTATTTTTTCTGTATAAAACCTACTAAAATCACAATCAAGATGCACTAGAAATAAACAAACCAAGACACTTGAATGTTACGAGGAACACTCCCGAATCATGATTTACAATGTATAAACTTTGCAAATCATGATTTGGGATTTATACAATGTATATACATACATTGTAAATCATTATTTGGTTGTGCTCCTTGTAACACATAACGTGTCTTGGTTTGTTTATTTTTAGTGCATCTTGATTGTGATTTTAGTATAGTCCCTTTTTTTTCGAATAAAGTTTTGCATAAAAAAATCTTTGAATATATTTTTTCAAATTAAAAAAAAATTCCAAAAAAATAATTTTTGTGTATTAGCTCACCACTTGTAAACTGATATTTATAAAGAAATAAATACGTGTACCAAATCACCCCAACATACGGGGTGAATTGATATACCAAATTTTTTTTGGTAAATTCTTCATTGCATTTACAAACATGTTAAAATGTGTAAATACAAGATGTAAATAGTATATAGGCATAATCTGTTAATATGGTTTGAAAAAAAAACCAAAAAAATTATACCACAAATTAAGAAAAAAAAACAAAAGAATTAAGAAAATAGATATAGAACAAAAAACAAAAAAAATAAATACAAAAAAAAAACAAAAAACAAAAAAAAAGCAAAAAACAAAAAAAAAAACAACACAAAAAAAGAAAACAAAACAAAAAAAAGAAGATAATAAAAGAATAAAAGAAAAGAAACAAAAAAATATATCAAAATATAATTTATGTATAAATATTAGGTATAATGTAGTACTAACATTGATAACTTATAACAAGAAAATTTTGACTATGAATCTGCAATCACTAATAATTAAAATTCAGTCGATTTTAACAATAAACACGAACAAGTCTGGCTAATTGGCTCTGCCAAAGCCATATTACAGAAAAATTTTTTTTAAGAAGCTTAAACTAAAATTTATGACGTGTGGCACTTTGACTATATAAATTAGAGATCGAGACTAAAGTTTCATCAATCAAAACTTTATTCGAAACTTTTTATCGAGGGGTATATGAACTTCCTAGGTCTTCCCACTCCAAAACTACAAGCAATTGTATTTAAAAAATCTATCAAGTCACCCGATTGATGGTATTTCATTCTTTTCGTGTAAGTGCCATACTACACTTACAACATATAGTGTACTTCCAACATATTAATAGTAAAAAAACTATATGCTTATTTCAGGTTTTACCGGCCACGTACCATTTGGCTATGCATCATTCGGCAAAACGAATACTGCTATGACGAACAGCGCCCTCTGTGATTTCACATCCAACTATAGAAAAAGATTAAGCAACGAATGGGCACCGGTCCAAATCGATAGGCCAAATCCTCCAGTACTAATTCAACCCACTGAAATTTACCATAAGCATATTGGGCAAATACCGAACTATGGAGGGCATATACCAGGAGCTATTTTCAGGTTAGGTTCTTTGATTTATTGGTAATATTTTACTATATTGTTCTGTGCGCTAGAGAAAACGAAAACGCTGTCCTTTACCAAACACCGAAATATTCCACCGAGTAAAATACTACGAAGTCATCGTCGTAGAGACGACCTTCGAGATTTTTCGGAGTTCCCGATCATTTTCTGATCTTCGAGAGTTCATTTTAATTATATAAGCCAGCAGGAGCGGGCTCTGATATAATTATTATTTGCGATTATTATTGTATCAGAGCGTATTCTTTTCAAAACGATAGAAGTTTTTACTATTTAATTTCTATCTCTTAGACAGCCTGATAATGACAGGAGAAATCTTCAAGTAGACAGGAGAAATTATTTTGCCAAGAAGAAGAATAAATTTCAGGCAAATCAAGACAATAATCAAAGGATTTTAAGGAATCAAATTGATTTTATTATCATTAATTGTTACAGATTTACTATTCGTTCATTTATGTAGAGTTAGTGAATCAGAGCATACGGACAGACGTTCGGAAATAGTAACGGATCATCCAATATGGAGGAATATGGAAAAGACCACGAAATCAGAAAAAAGAATTGAAAGTAGTGCAATAATTTATTAGTTACAATTATTTAGAAGTATGTGATGATGATAATGATGAATAAAAGGAAATACATAAAAATAGATACGCAACCACAAATACTACGGCCACTTGTTGTAGAAAACGACGTCATCGAAGCAGTTAACGAATTTGTATACCTGGAAACGCTAGTCAATGCTGAAAATGACACTACCGCAGAGATAAACCGCAGAATTTGCACGGCTAATATATGCTATTTTGGGCTCAATCTCCTTTTTAAATCTACAGTTATATCAAGAAATACAAAAGTCTTCTTCTTCTTCTTTTTGTGCCGCTCCTATCGGAGATTGGAAATCATCAAGGCTATTCTGACCTTGTTTACGGCTGACCTAAAGAGTTCATTAGTGGTGCAGCCATACCACTCTCTCAAATTCCGCAACCATGACATTCTTCTACGGCCTGGATTCCGTTTTCCTTCTATTTTTCCCTGCATTATATTTTGAAGTAATGCGTATTTATGTCCTCTCATCAGGTGACCAAAATATTCGAGTTTTCTTCGCTTTAGCGTTAACAAAATCTCTGGGTCTTTTCCTATTCTTCGTATTACTTCACAGTTTGTTATTCTTTCAACCCAACTAATCTTCAGCATTCGACGGTAGCACCACATCTCGAAACTTTCAATATTTTTCATGTTGTTCTGTTTGAGAGTCCAGGCCTCTACACCGTATAATAGAGTGTTAAATACATAGCCTCTCAGCATTCTTAATCGTAGAGGGATGCTTATATTTCTGTTACAGAAGAATTTTCTCATCTTTATGAAGGTGGCCCTAGCAATTTCGATACGTCTTTTTATTTCACTGTTTTGGTCTCCAGTTTCGTTTATTAAAGTTCCCAAGTATTTGTAACTTGATACTTTTTCAACTTGAGTGCCGTTTATACTAATATACGCTGGTTGTGTCATGTTTTTACTGAAGACCATATACTTGGTTTTTTTAATATTGATATTTATACCATAATTGTTGCAAGCAATATTTATGTCTGTAAGTAATCTTTGTAATTCTTCTACTGTTCTTGCAACTAGTACAGTGTCGTCCGCGTATCGAATATTATTTACAATCTCTCCATTAATTACGATTCCTCCGTTTGCTTGTAAAAGGGCTTCCTGACAGATGCTTTCACTATATACATTAAATAACAGAGGTGACAAAATGCAACCTTGTCGTACTCCTCTACGTATTTCTATTGCTTGTGATGTTTCAGTTTCTATTTTGATGTTAGCTTTCTGATTCCAATATAGATTGAGAATTATTCGCAGATCTTTATTATCTATGTCGTTCCTTTCAAGAATCTCTCTAAGCTTATCATGGCGTACTCTGTCAAACGCTTTCTCAAAATCGATAAAACAATACAAAAGTAAAACTGTACAAACTGTACAAAGTACATACTGTACATACAAGTTTTGTACAGTTTTGTAAGTAAAACTGTACAAAACAATAATACGCCCAGTCCTAACATATGGTTCAGAAACCTGGACTTTAACAAAAAGCAATGAAAACATGTTAGGATATTTCGAAAGAAAAATAATAAGGTGAATCTATGGAGCGGTAAATGAAAATGGTGTTTGGACTTTGAGAAGACGATACAACTTCAAACTCTATAGTATATACCAGGAAACAGATATCGTAAAACACATTAAGATAGGACGTCTGAGGTGGGTAGGCCATGTAATGCGGATGGAGCAAACCGACCCAGCTAGAAAAACTTCATAGATCTATTGGTCAAAGAAGAAGATGAAGACCAAGAACAAGATTCCTAGATAACATAGACCAAGATATGAGAAATATGGAAATACGTGCTTAGCGGAGGAAGGCGATGGATAGCGACGACTGAAAAAAAAATTCTTGGGGAGGCTAGGACCCACACAGGGTTGTAAAGCCAAAATGATGATGATGAATTGTAAAAAATGACAAAAATCGCCCAACGTTTATTTATTGAACAGATTTATAGAAACTCACTTTATTTGCAGCAAAATACAAAGATTGCAAAAGAAAGATGCACTCTTCACCTTTAAAATGCATTCTGATTTTTTTCGATAAGGCACTTTATCAAAAGATATCGAATTTTTACCATCGAGTTAATACACATTTTATTATACATCGATTTCTCGCTCGTATTGACATTCAAAATCGCCGGTTGCTTTAAGCGTTGTTTCTGAGAGAACGGTTCATTCTATAAAAAAGTGCTAATTAATATATTTGTTCAAAATTATCTCAGCTATATCTTTTATTTGAAACTTTTTTCTATGGCGTACAAGTTTTTACCCCTCTATGCGGAAGGTTTTAGGAGAAAGCCAGGAGGTAAAAGTGGTAAACTTTTTTGCATATTTTTTTGGGTCCCAAAATTAATATTCTCGACAAAATTCAGCTTGCTCGTATGATTTTTAGGGGTAAGATCTCTGAGAACTGGACTGTAATAAATGAACATAAGTAATAATGGAGAAAAAGTCTTATTTGTAACAGATTGTATTTACATTAAGTTGATGAATGCAAAGTTAAATAATAAATCTTTGTGATAATTGTTCTTTTATAATTTTAGGTATGGAAAAACTTATGGAAATGATTCACGTGATGCTAAAAGGTGGCTAAGGGGCGACTTTTCTACGTAAATATGTGATTGCGATTTTTTTTAACAAAATTTTATTATATCAAGTCTTCCACGAATCAATTGTTAAAGAAAATAAATGTAGTAATTTATGGTTTGTTTACTTTTTTTAAACAAAGTTACAATTTGTGTACAAAGTACAAACTAGACAATATCATTTAGATTCAGATTTATAATTACTCAAAACCCTCCTTAATTTTCTTTGCTTCATCTTTGTTTCTTTGCTGAATCATTGTTATCTTTACTTTTTATTTAGCCTCTTCCTTCACTTTTTCGTTTTTTATTACGTTGTTCTGTTTCTTTTTCATTCTTTTCCTCCTGTTTTCTGTTTTATTCCAATGAGGACCGTTCAACATAGCATGACAGAGTAAAACTAGTATTAGTAAAATAGTTGGAGTATTTATTGTTTTCTGCTAATAATCGTTGTTAATACTTCATATTGAATTCAGTATAAAATTAAACCCATTTCTTCTTAAAAATGTTGCTTTTAGTGAAAATGTTATCTTCTGTGTGTTGAAAAAGGGTCTTTGCAAACCCGAGCAACTTTCGAAAATGTGCAAGCATTTTTACGCTGGCAACGCTTCGTGCAACTTCTCGGTCAAACAGATTATACTATAATACTGTTAAATGATCAAATATTGTTTATTAGATTGCTTTCTTCAAGAGCTCAATATAGTGGAAGTCTACGGAGAATTTACCCCCTACATGTGGTTGATTAACTAGAACTCACTGGATACTCATAATTACTTTATTGGTTCTCTAAGCACAATAATAGAGAGAGTACCCAGTTGACGGATGACAACAATAGCTTCGACTGTTCACTCTTAATTCTTAATTCTTAATAATCTACTTCCGTTATTTTTCGGATATTTAACTCACGTGCGTTTTGTTTATATATTCATGTTTTTTAATATAATTTGTATACATTATTTAATAAGCTTTTGATTACATTGCAAATTTCTTTAGGTCATCGCGCGTTTTAGTTACACCGATATTTTCAATGTCATAAACAAACAATCGCATTTAGCAATAAGCAATGAATAATATTATTAAAAGAAATTTTAAATTTCAAACTAAATTAGGTTACTTAGATCTGATTTCGGGATGCTTAATTAAATCCCTTTACAATACTATAGGTTGGATAGATTAGTTGTATTTTACTAGTTCGATATTTTTGAGTCAATTCGGATAGATCAACAGCATAAAAAACTTATTTATTCAAATTAAAATATAATCAGACATAAAAATTTACTAATTAAACATGTCTTTTGTATCACACGGATTAATCTCGGTCTTAATAATTTGTCTCCATTTCGTCAAATTTGCTCAACTTCTCTTTTGCTTCATCTAAAGTTGTTCTTGACTAAAAAAATAACACAAAATAGATAAATACCGTTTTAATTTTCATTATAAGTCTTAGTATACAGTGTGTATCACCCAAATGGAACAAACTCGATTACAAGCAGATGAAGCCGTGTTTAAAAAACGCTTAAACTGGAATATTGAATGTGAATCTTAAATAGAAGCTTCTACTAACATTGCTCAATATCTCAGGCTCGGCCGATCTAATCGCAAGTGTTATTCGTCATCTTAAGCCAGCTAAGTCAAGCGTTTTAGTTTCTTATACATTACTTTTGACATAACTAAACTACAAAAGAAGAAATCTAATATTGTCCGCACAGGGGACTTTCAATTATTCTTCGCTTCCCTTCTCGGTATTGATTTTAATTGAATTTATTTTACTTGGCTGATACTCACTGTAGATCTATTGTCAAAAGCTGAATTTTCCCATAATATCTACATATTGCTGATCTAAGTTATACTAGCCACGCATTTATCTAATGTTTGCTATGAGGAAAGGGACTTGCCCATATAATAAGGTGAGAACTTATTGAGGCGACCACAATATTAAAGTATAGAAAATCAATAGAACCAAACCAAATAAAAATTGAATTCTTAAGATGTAGAGTATTGGAGGATATAAATTCTGCATATAATAAATCTATTTGGTTTAGGGGCGGATCCAGGATTTATGTTTGGGGGGGGGGCACCATTGGTGGGTCTGGGGGGTAACCCCCCAGAAAGAGGGGGGTTCGGAATTTTTCCCCTCCCCCGAATTTTTTTTGGAATTTAAGCCTCTGAAAACAACGTTTTTAGCACATTTTTGTTCAAAAAGTGCAACTTCATTTTTCTTAAATTCGTGTTTTTTAATGGGTTTATGAAGTTCAGTTTCTTTGGAGCAGTGCCTAAAACAGAGTAGTTTAAATGTACTATCCTTTTTTCGATGTTGAAATAAACCTAGGTGATACTTTAATTTTTTCAATTACTAAACTAATTAAGTTATATGACCAAAAAAACTGAAATACAATTAGTGTCTAAAATAACGTTATGAAAATTGTTTATAGGTACAGTAAATAAAAAACACCGTTTTAGTTAATAGGTAAGTCTATTTACATAGGCCTATTAAGTATTAATGTAGTTAAATATATATACAGGATTGGGCAGTTGTTAAAACCAAGAAATACATAAAAAGAACAACTGAAATAATTAAAACTGTAAAGTAAAAACATGTTTAATGAATAAGGAATTCATTTACTAAATGTTCAATTTAATGAAAAAGACAACTTCCGCTTGTGCTTCCTTCAAGTTTCAACACTTCATCTGGATCTAAACTGGAAGCTATTTCCTGGTGTATGTGCACACTTGCCAGCCCATTAAGTCGTTCCTCCGTCATGGTAGACCTTAAGTAGGTTTTTAATCTGCGGAGAGTAGAAAACGATCGTTCAGCAGTACTACTGGTCACAGGTAGTGTGGAAATAAGCTGGAGCAACACTGTTATGTTGGGCAGATCGGATGAGTATTTCATAGCTTCAGCAGGGGGTTTAGAGAAACTTTCTGAACTAGAATTCCACATGTGTTTCCAAATACTCAACTCTCCTTTCAAAGCTTCATAGCATGGGAGGTCATTTTCATACAGTTTAGCCCCTCCTAAAACAGAGTCCTCATAGAGATCTGAAAATTTACCTAGTACTGGTAGAAGCATCTGGAGCTTTCCAATTTGGACCAATTGATTTTTTGGAAATCTATTTTTCATTTCACAGACGAGAAAATCCAAAAAAGGGAGATAAATAGACAATCGAAAGTAGTCTTCAACTGTGTCAGTTTGCACATTTGGTCTGTTTCTTTAAAGACCAACTAATCTTGGGTCTTTTAATTCAGTTCCCATTTTAGAGGCCAGGTTTTGCGCTTTTTCAAACAGTCTTTTGAAACACTCTTCATTGTTTGCCCTTTGTTCTTGCATGCTCTTGAGGTTAGCATTTATCAATGTCATTGCATTGAGTACATCCATATACTCAGCTTGAAGTTTCCTAGCCAGTGGCAGTGTAAGAGTCATAACATTTTCTAAAACCACTAAGCTCACAATAAATTCCGATGAAAGAATGCTGTGTAGCAAGGAAAACGCGTTATTTCCAGCCGCTTGGTCAGAATAAACTATAGTTTCTAAAGTAGCATGTAGTGAAGGCAGAGAACTCAAAAACGTCAACACAGCGTCATGACGTTCTAACCACCTTGTCTCACACATTTTTTTCACAGCGTGCTTTCCCTTTTTAATTTCCTCATTCCTTTCATCCTCAAGTGCATGTAGTCTCTTGGCAGACTCTCTAAAAAAGTTTAAGATTTGCATTGTGCTTTTTTAACGTCAGTGACAAAAATAATCATATTAGGAGAAATTAGGTTATTTCTGTGGCATCTACTACTAATGAGGATGTAAATTGGTATATTATAATTTTTATGACGTAAAAAACTAAGTATGTTAGAATAATTAACGAAAAATGTATCTTTTATAATTTACAATATAGCCTAGGTGGCCTAAATAATAGGCTAGGCCTAGGCCTAGGCTAGGCCTAGTCTATTATTTAAGCTCTGCTCTGAGCTGCAAAATGTTAAAAGTTGTGTAACAAAAATTTTTCTTTTTTTACGGCCGAATCTATAAAAAATATGTACCTTAGTAGTAGCAACATTAAGTTGCTCACTGTTAAGTGAGTCTATCGTTAAAAATTATACTACTTTGAGTAGGCCTAGTAGTTATTAAGACTTACCTTTATCTTTTTTGAAAAGAATGAATCTAATCCTAATTGACGTTTCATTACAACCACAAGGTCCACAAAGCTATAGAAATAGAGTTGACTGTTGAGGTTAGGTCAGAGTAACAATTGCACTTGGCAGCTCCAGCTCACTCGACTTAAGTGACACAACTACTAACTACTAACGGTCGAACGAAAAATATCGATTGCTTCCGCGCAGTTGACTTGCGCTGTTGCTCATATTTCCACGACTGTAGAAAGCCGGCCGAAACACGATTTAGGCTTTAACCTTGGACTTGTCAAGTCAGCTGGGGCAGGCAGCTGGCGACTGACTCACGACTCACCCTAGAGCAGTGGTGGTGATTTATTGTAGCAAGAATTTACGTTAATAATGTATCTGTTTGGATATTATTAGCTACTTGCAGTAAGGTAGCTAAAATATTGTAAGTGTTATTTTATCGGTAAAAAAAAAACCTTATGAGGGCTTGGGGGGGCACGTGCCCCCTGTGCCCCCCCTAGATCCGCCCATGATTTGGTCAGTATTCAGAAAACCCGAAACGAGACAAGTGACACAAGTTAGATCACTGTTTAAAACAATTGTTTATATTTCCGGTTCACTTTCAGCCCTAGGCCAACATCATCTTCATACAGGTCACTAAATAGATTTTTTAAATTCCAGAACTGTAACTTACATCCGTTTCTATAAGCCAAGAATTATTATCTAAGAAGCCATAGAGACCGAAAAACGCCCGAATTGCCCCAATAAAAGAAATTACGGTACCAGATTGTCTTCAACATGGAGACCCCTCCTCAATCATAAAACACCGTCCGCTCCGTCTACCAATTTAGTTCGCTTCTGGTTCGATTCTCTAAGGTAAGATGGATTAGATTAGAACACACAAGAAATTTTAAGGACATTATGTTGACCAGACACCAGAAGAGATATAGGTGAGATAATTTAAGTTTCAGCAACAAAACAAGCTGAGACTAGTAGGTAGATCAA